TATATATATATATATATTTACACACACAATTTATTTTATTTTTTATTCTGTCTTTAATGTTAAGCAGTTAAACATATAAATCAGCACTTGCTGTTTTAAAGCACTTTATAAATAATGTTGGGTTGGTTTGGCCAGAGATTAATAATAACTAATAATTAAATGCAGACTGGTGAGTGAAAAAGAAACTATTGCAGCACAACTAAAGGAAGATTCAGGGTCATCTGATCCAACCCTAACTATATCAGCTTTTTCCATAAAGGCTTGCCATCTGTGGAACACACTTCCAAACGAAATCAAATTGATTACAGACATCAGATCCTTTACATTGAAGGTTAAAATTTTGTTAAAGGGAAATCAGAGATGTAGTAATTTTAACTAATGTTAACTAACTAATTATTATTATTAATTAATTAATTATCTATGTTGATTGTAATCCCAACAAGGGGCAATTGTTGAAAAGTATTGTAACGCACATAACATGAAACTTATACATCAGTTTCATGTTTTGTACTTGGACTATGTTAAACTGCACTGTCCCTTTTAAATAAATAAATTCAAATTCAAATATGCTTTAGCAAAAAGCAACGTTTGAAGCCAAATATTAAAAGTAGAGAGGATGTCTGTATCATGGGTCCAAAGTGGGAGCTGTTGTGGCTGAAGCTCCACAGTTATGTATCTTATTAACCTGCTGAGATACTAAGTACCTATTTTAATGATCAAGCTATTCATATCTTGTTCAATGAATACTGACAAAGATAATGTTACAAAAGGTTATGGTAGTATTACACTAATATAAATTTTAAAAATTTAAAGACAAGCTTACAGTCATGATTAAATTGTGTCTTTAAAATACCTAATGAGTTTAAACATTTGTTTGTTTTAGGCGTACAGACTGGAGCCTCTAATCTTAAAGCACTACAGTAACATTGCACCTGTTCAGATCCACTGGTAAGAAATGTCAAGTGTCTTGTATATAAAAGATGTTTTCTAGCTGTAAAGGCTGGAATGAAATAAACTTTTTGGTTTTGTGTGTAGTAATAACTATCATGTCATTTAAGTAAGGACGAAATGTTTCATTGAGCAGAGGTTGATGTAATGTGCAGGTACAACACTACCAACCCGGCACCGTATGATCTGATCCGGCCCACGCTGCTCAATCCCCTGAAGGAGACTGTGTCTGTCTCAGATTCAGAGAGCATCCCTAGCCCTTGCACGTCTCCCCCCCAGCCCCGACGGCACTATGGAGAGTCAATCACCAGCCTGGGCAAGGCCAGCATCATGGGTGAGGATTTCGGCAATAGAGTCATAGATGATAGGAGAACATTATATATATGTGATTTTTTTAACTTCTCGTGTTTAAAAATCAGTTTAGTGAAATAATAATATCTGAAATGGATATGAACGCCAAGTAAAATCAGCTGATGTAAGCTGAGAGAAACAGAAGATGCTTGAGCTGCTGATATTGTAGCAGACCCAGCACTGGGCAGTAAACAGTTTCTAAACAAATCAATAGAAGCAATTAGCTCTGGAGAGTAACTTTAACTGGATAAAAGACATTTGATATTACACAGCAGATATAGAGGTTCTGCTTCTAATACTATTAGAACTTCACTCCACTAAGCTCCCAAAAATTTAAGATGAGCGTTTTTAGGTCATGAAATTTGTAGAGCACTAGAACGATAAAAACAAACATTTCAAGGTGACATTTTGCTGCCACAGTTGTGATCCACAGACAAGGGTCTTGAACCTGTTGCCCTTTTGCCCCCTTCGAGTGACTCCCTGAGGCTTTGAAAAACATGAGAATTAATATGGTTGGTGCATCAATCCAGCTTTTTCCATTACTGCCCAATACCTTGGTTGTGGGTATCTGGAAGACCCCAAAAGGGAGCAGTTGAAAGAAGAAAAGGGCAGAAGACACACGACTTTTTTTGAACACAGTAAATATTGTTAATGAAGAACTTTAGATTAGGAATACAAAATAAGATGATCTAATGCATAAATCTAATTACCCCTAAGGTGCTGCAAGTCTCGGAAAGGGAATTGGAGGAATCCTATTTTCCCGCTTTTCCCGTTCCAGCGGCCAGGTGGGTGGAGTGGAGGAGGAGCCATCAGATTCTGAGAGTGGGACCTCTGACGTAAAAAATGTGGGAACAGGAGAGGAAGAAGTAGCAATGGCAGAGAAAGAAGACAAAGACAAACAAATAATGGAGGAAAGAAGGGAGGTGGAGCCTGCCATGTCCCAGTCCACCTCAGCTGTCATGGACATCACCTCATGTAAGTGCTGTAAAGTAAAGCATCTATGATTTGCTGTGGTTATTGAGATCTTAAACCAACGTGGCTGCTCTTCAGGCCGTTGGTCTTCAAGAACTCTGAGTTGCTCCTGATGCATTCATCAGAATGTGTGTGTCACACAGAATCTGTGTGAATGATAATTAGAAAGTACTATAATCTCTACAAGTAGAGAGTAGTAAATGGGTGAATGAGACATGTATAAAGTGCTTGAGTAAAAGAGTACTATATAAGAACCAGCCCATTTACCATTTCTTTTATCTCCCTGTAATCATTTTTCAGAAACTTTTTTGTGAGTCAAAATCATGTTTGTTCTGTTAAGTCAGTTCAGTTCAGTTCTATGTATATAGTGCCATTTCATAACAACAGTTGCTTCAAGGTGTTTTATATTGTAAAGATCCTCCAGTATCAGAAAGAAACCTCAACAATCACATAACCCACCTACGAGCAAGCAACAGTGGGTAGAAAAACCTCATAACAGGAGGAAACCTCCAGTGATGTGAGCTGTGAAGGATTATACTTCTTGTATCCTTCACCGCAGACAGTAACTCTGTGGATAAAACATAAAGTTCACCAGGGAAGACACAAATGATAACAGGTTGCCATTCCTGGACTGTGCCGTGCACATTGAAGAGAATGGAAACCTCAACACTGAAGTTTACTGGAAACCCACACACATGGACCAATACCTCGTCTTTGACTCCCACCACCCTCTGGAACACAAACTACCCTACAACCCTACAACACCTGGCGGAAAATGTCCCCTCTGAGCCTGAAGGGAAAAAGAGGGAACACACACATGTAAAGGAAGCTCTTAAAACATGTGGTTATCCTAATTGGACTTTCATCAAGTCAAATTCAAATTCAAATTCAAATTTTATTTGTCACACACACACAACCATACACAGTATGACATGGGGGTGAAATGCTTGTAGCTGTGCAATGCCCAACCATTAAATGAGAGAAAAAAGTTTTACAGTATTTACAATTTACAGGTTACTACAAAAATTTACAAATTAACTTAGAAATTTACAGTAAAAAAATGTGCAAATAGCAGAAAGAGATTATAAAGATTATAAATTATAGGAAGTGTGCATAAAGAAAAACCAGAGTGCATGTGGTGATGTGATGTGTGTGAGAGTCCAGTCTTATAGTGATGGGTGTGGGAGAGTCCAGTCCTACACCTGGTTCAGGGCCCGAATAGCCTGGGGGAAGAAGCTCCTCCTCATTCTCTCTGTTTTGGCCTTAAGGGAGCGGAAGCGCTTCCCAGACCTCAACAGTGAGAAGAGTCCATTGTTGGGATGGGAGAGGCCCATCATAATCTTCCTAGCTTTGGACTTGCACCGCTTGGTGTAGATGGACAGCAGGTCAGGGAGCTCTGATTGAATGATGCGTTCGGCCGAGCGCACCACTCTTTGCAGATCTCGTCTGTCGTGCTTGGTGCTGTTCCCAAACCAGGTGCAGATGTTTGCCGTCAGGACGCTCTCGATGGTGCAGGAGTAAAAGTTCTTGAGCACCTTCAGTGGCAGATGGAAGTCTCTAAGGAAGAAGAGACGCTGACGGGCTTTCTTAACCAGGGTGTTGATGTGACAGGACCATGACAGGTCCTGAGTGATGTGGACACCCAGGTATCGGAAACTGTCCACTCTCTCCACTGGCGTGCCACTGATGATGAGGGGCTTGTAATTCCTCGCCTGCTTTGTAGTGAAGTCCACAATCAGCTCCTTAGTCTTGCTGATGTTTAGGAGGAG